GATAGATGGACAAAAATAAAGTATTTTTCACTGTAATAATTGTTTTCTTTTTAATATCTGTAAAAGGCGGACAGTGAAATGCAGAAGATGGGCAAAGGTAAACCAGGAGAAAAACTTGAAAAGGCAGCGGAGACGCTAATGCAGTGCTTCCGAACATGTGCTAGTGACACGTAAGTGTTTTAAAACTGGTATATGTTCAAACAACACATGGTTGAACTTCCTTTCATAATTAAAAAAAAAATTACCAATTGATATTTTACTTAATTATAATTCTATTTTTACTTAATTATAATTTTTGTAGATGACCAATTCAAAATATGGAATCAGTATATAGACATCTTGGCATTTTAAAATTATTACATTTCTGTACTTTTTTAATCAATTTAGTATGAAGATAAAATATGATGATGAAATCAGAATGTCCTATTCATGGGCTGGGGGTGTGGATGCACCCCTCTTTCCATGGTGGCAAATTAGTTAAATGGGTTAAAATACTGCCAATGACCATTAAGCTTTCATTGGAGCAGGGATAAAATTCTGTCATCTTAATTTTTGCACCCCCAGCCTGTTTTACACCCCCTCCCCATATCCAAAACCAGCCTACACCCCTGATATGAATATTTACGTATCCAAGAAAAGAAGATGGCTTCTCAACCTTTACATCATCAGCATTACTCTAACCATAGTTAGAAGAATGATTGTCAGAGCATTCTTTTGGAGATGACAGTGATTTATTAGTTTTTTCTGTTTCCTGGCATTATATTGACTACTGTATTGATGTTAATTTTGTACATACTTTTGTCTGGTGGTTAAAAATAGATATGGTGTTTACAGAAAATAATTTTATTTGCCATGCAAATCTATAAAAGCTGTCAAAATGCTTCCATTTATTTGGCCTGTGATGTTTGTATTATATTCTTCCCCTTTACTCTTGCAGGAGACCCCCGTGGACTGATTCAAAGAAACAAGGAATGCTGTACTTAGTCAATCAACTTTTCAAAATATACTTTAAGGTATTTTAAAGTTTTTAATTTACTTTAATCCAGGGCCAAAGTCAAAAACGTTGATGTAGATGACGCAGATGATGGAGGATGAATGATGATAATGTAAATGTTGATGATAATCATCGAGATAAGGAAGTAGATGGTGTAGATGATACTTATGAAAATAGAGATGATGTAGGTGATGATAGATATGATGTGGATAATGATGATGTAGTTGTCCTTGTATTAAAATAACTGTAATTCCAAATTTTGCTGCCATCTTTTTTCTGTGTAGATTAACAAACTTCACCTGTGCAAGCCGTTAATTCGTGCCATTGATAGTTCTATGCATCAAGATAAATACAGTATTGCGCAGCGTGTTACCTACAAATATTATGTTGGCAGGAAAGCCATGTTTGAGGGCGACTTCAAGAGTGGTAAGTAAAACTTCTTACTTTTAATCGAAGGGGAGTTTGTTTCCAAG